TTGTTCTATCCTCCAAGGTACCAAGGTAGGTTCGGCTAAAGAACATGACCAGATACCTTAATTCCCCAGAGAGCGGTTTAATAAAACAATACATTCTTCTCCAAGCAATCATCAAATATCAAAGGAAATTGAGTATCCTCCAGCCGATCTCAAACATTCCCCAGCAGCAATACATATATTCTTAACAAGCATCCCCGGCAGTCTTGGTCTAAAGATTGTTCCCCGGCGGTACATCAACATTCAAAGGAATCACTTCCCTGCAATTCAAAACTTCCCCAGGAGAATCCAATCCAGCTTCCCCAAGAAAGTTGGAATCCATCTCCCCAAGCAGTAAGCTTATCCCCAGTAGATTCTGGAAGCTTATCCTCGCAGAGCACGAACGCGTCTCCCGGCTTTATTCAAGAGTTATTTCCTTACCAGGATATAACTGGGTTATCCTCAGCCAAAAGCCATGGAAAGAACGTCGTCGACAAAATCTTCCTATCCCCAGCGAAGTCCGTCAACACTTCATACAACAAGGGTATCCTCAGCAAACTACTATCAACATTCAGCAAAACTTCTCTATCCCCACAGAGTATTGCTTCCCAGCATGGTCGTCAGAGTATCTTTTCTCCCCGCAGAATCTTCCATTTGCCAAGTTATTCCGCAACGGAGTCATCTTCTCCTACCGGTATTCTTGCAGTTATCATCCCCAGCGGAAGCAAAATCTATTCTTCAACGTCAGCCCAGGATACAACTTCCCGGCACCCGTCAAGGACTTACTTTCCTAGACGAAAACATACATAAAACTTCACATACATCATCATAGCATGCATAACGCACGGCATCATATCATACGAATCTCATTTATGTTGAGAACATCATTGCTTGATCCATATCATGCATTGCATATGACTGACTTTTACCTTTCAGGAAAAATGCAGTTTAAATTCTCAATCACATTTCAAGACTTTGTCCGGTTCAGTTAAATCGACCCTAAGATTTTCCTGATGCTTATCCAGTCAAAGGCCTTCTCTGGTTCAGTCAGATCGACCCTAAGATCTCCCTGATGCTTATCCAGTTGAAGATGTTTCAAGACCTAGACCGGTTCAGTTAAATCGACCCTAAGATTTTCCTGATGCTTATCCAGTCAAAGGCCTTCTCTGGTTCAGTCAGATCGACCCTAAGATCTCCCTGATGCTTATCCAGTTGAAGATATTCCAAGACCTTGTCCGTTTCAGTTAAATCGACCCTAAGATTTTCCTGATGCTTATCCAGTCAAAGGCTTCTCTGGTTCAGTCAGATCGACCCTAAGATCTCCCTGATGCTTATCCAGTCGAAGATATTCCAAGACCTTGTCCGGTTCAGTCAAATCGACCCTAAGATTTTCCTGATTCTTACCCAGTCAAAGGCCTCTCTGGTTCAGTCAGATCGACCCTAAGATCTCCCTGATTCTTATTCCAGTAGAAGACACCCAAGATTTTTCTCAACGAGCGTTGTTAAAGTTAAAATCGCCCAAGGTTCCCTTACCATTCATGCTAAGGTAGCAACCATCCCTGGTTCATTCATCAGCGTTTGAAGCTCCAGATTCAGCTCCTGTAACCAGTCAGGACACGGCTATACCAAGCATCTAAAATCAGCTCCTGCAACGTGTCAGGTACTCATTTTCTCTTTTGCAGGTATGCAGGTTCTCGCTAAGGAATCTCCTACGCGATCAACATCCGGATGGCATCTATAAGCCCATCATCCTATCCAGCAACCTCTAAATGGCATCTATAAGCCCATTTCCCCCATCACTGCTACTATGTGAGCGCAAATTTCTGGGCACTTTAGTGTTCAATCATCTTTTACCATCGGATTACGAAAGGCACGTCAGCCAATCTGCATCCTCAGGTCTAAGAAGATTGAACAGGGGCAACTGTTGCACCCCAAAATTTGCCCTCCCATATTCATCAAGATTTGTCAAGCCAAGGTCACAAAATTCCCCAAGGGCTATGCAGTTCAACTGTCTCCTATACAGTCAAAACTAGGGTTTGGGTTCTGATCAAGAAAAGGAAGTTTTCAATGGCCCAATCAAGTCTCATATGCTTACAAAGATGGTCAAGTATCCTCATGTCAAGTTTCAAGACCTTCAGCTCAAAATTGCACAGTCAAAACCCCAGATTGCACTACAGTCCACTGTAGGGGCAAAATGGTCATTTAGCAGTCAAAAGTTCAAATTTTTGGTCAACATATCATTTTGAAGCCGCAAACATCATTTGATCAATGCTTGATCATGATTCTCAAAATTTGGCTCAGAAATCATCAAAGATGCAAAAGTTGCTATATTTGGACAGCTGAAAAAGTCAACTGAAATTGACCAGGGCATAACTTTCACATGGATTATCAGAAAAATTCCATCCAAAGCTCATTTTGAAGAGGAAGACATTTCCTACAACTCATCTTCATGTTCCAAGTCCAAGAAATGCTCTCACAAAAAGTTATCAATTTCAACATTATAGGTCATTTTCAAAAGTCAACAAAAAGGGACTTTAAGTCAAAGGCCATAACTTGATATTGGTAAATCAAAATGACATGGGACCAAAGGCATTTGTTAGAGGACTCAAAGAACTTTCCAAAATGTCCAAGAACATGTGAAAAGCTTAAAAATTGACCAAGTTATGCCTTGTGGAAGTTGGGAAATTTTTGGGAATTTTGAAAAGTCAACATGGATGCAAAAGGCCTAAAAATGCAAATGGGCCCATTTTTCTTCCAAGTTTCTTCATGCCAAGCCTATGCACGATCATTAGGCCCAAAGGGAAGTATTTTCTCATTTTTTAATTATTTATTTGAATTTATATTAATATTAATTCATTTAAATTAATTAAATACATGAAAAATATCAAACTTGACCTAAAAAAATCTTTTCATGCATGTTTATTCTCAATATCACGTGCATATCCCAATTAGGCAAGTTTTGATGAGATTTGAGCACGATTGAACCAAAAACCATGAGAAAAAGATATGGAAAAGATCCTTGAAATCAAATATTCAAAAATCATCAAAGCAATGGATTTTGTCCAATTTTTCTTAACCTAATCACTCACTATATGATCAGGAAGGTAAACCTAATGAAAAGACACTCCAAGCTGCGCCCCAAGAACCCTTTGCAAATTGAAATTTTTTCATAGAACTCAAAAACTGAAAACCAGTCTCAAGGTCGATTCAAGCATCAATTTTCATTCCATTAGCATCCTGAGACATCATTGAACGTTTCTCAATCATTAACATCAACCAAAACGCCCTGAATTGGTACCCCTAAGTCAAACTGTACCTCAAAATTTCTGAAATCGTATAGCATGATTCAAGCATATTTTTGCATTTTTTTTTATGTATTCATATTCACAATGATGTTTCTAAGCTGACCAATGCGTTTGATTGCATTTTTATGCCATATATATGAATCTGCCATGATCGTCCTCTAGGGTTTGCAGGTTTCAAATTTGGGGTTTTCTGCCCAAGGAAAAATTACGCTTCCAGACCAGTGCCATTAGCTTAAGCAGATTGAGACGAAGAAGATGGCACCCTCGCGCTCAATTTATGAGTGTCGAGGGGCTAGTCGCTATTTTCTTATAGGCCCTCTAAAACAACGCTTCAAAAACCGTTGCCTTATAGGTTTTGTTACAGGGGACGCGAAGACGATGATGTCGTGTCATAAGGGGACAGGCCAATTCAAAATCTCGCGCGCTTCAAGGGGCCACTAACCAGTTTTTGCTTTTTATTATTTACTTGCTATAATATATTAATTAGAACGTGATGGCTCAGTGGCAGGGATACGTGTTGGTAACATCAAAGACCTGGGTTCGAATCCCAGGTCTTGTAAAGTTTCAATATTATTTTTCAATGTGTATTCTCATGCAGGCATAATATGAGGACTCACCATACGTCTTCAAATTGGACCATACACGCGTCCAAAATAGTCAGATCAATGGCCAAGATCCAAGGCGCAGCATACACCTAGTCAAACGCACCTTACGTGATTCCCAAAGTCAATGGATTCAAGCAAATGGGCCTTAACCTTCCAGGCCTATACCTCCTGAATTGGGGACTACCCCCCCTGGTTTGCCTTATTATTTTTTTTATTCTTTCTTTAATTTTTCTTTTTATTTCTTTTATTTGCTATTTATTTAGTTAATTATTTTTACAAAATATAAAAACATTCAAAATCAGAAAAGACCAAAAATAATAAAGATTTATATTATAATTACTTTCATAAAAAATGCTTGTAATTATTTAGCTTTAATTTAGGTTTATTAAATATTTCTCATAATAAAAATCCAAAAAATAGAGTTTAGGTTTAATAACTTTTTATTTTCTTTTTAATTTTCCCTTTTTTTCAGAATAATAATATTATTTATTTATTTTCATAAATTAAAAATTGTACATAAATTAATTTAGAGTTAAATTAGGTTAAAAGTCAATATTTTCATAATAAACTTAAAAAACATTAGAACTAGGGTTTAGCATTTTAATTTTAATTAATTTTTCTTTTTTCTTTTAAATCTAAAAAAAGCACAAAATACCAAAAAAACATTTAATCATTTAATTTTTAATTCTCATTAACTCTTAATATTTTGCAAAAGGGTCCAACGCCCGTCGTTTCAATTATTTAATTTGCGCATTTATCTTATGTCGTTTAATTATAATTATGTAAATCTCCCAAAGCCATGTAACTTTACTTTTCGCACTTTTATTTACTTCGCTTTATTTATTTTCCGCTAAATCGGGTCCGGTTTAATTTTGGCGATGTGGACCCGCGCCATTTGTAATAGCCTTAGATTTATTTTCCCGCAAACTTATAACTGTTAAAAAGCATGCAAGAATGAATGTCCTAATTAAAATCAAGCGTAGATCACAAACAAACATGACAAGACAAATGACTGAAACATGACACACGAATCGCACACACCACCCCTAGGGTACGCCTCACTGTTGCCTTTCGAAAGGTGATCGTCGAGTAGAGGACGTCTTAGTAAGTCCTCATGATCCGGGAACCTGGCATGAGGGTAGCTTCTAAGGTGTCTTCCTATTGCTCTGGTGATCACCATGTCCCTAAACTCGAATTGACCCGAACACCTCCAACGGTGGTGCTACCTACCTCTCAATGGTGGGATGGCACTACTTTAAAGGACATTTACACAGACGAATTCCTTAGGGTAGGTAGGTTCTCAAGGATACTTGCTCTAATTTCAAACAAATCAAAAGACTTTTCACACTGACACTTTTCAAAAGCTTTCAAAGCAAATTTTTCAAACACTCTGACGTACGAGTCGAACTGAAATTTTTCAAAGAAACTTTTTTTAAACCCACATTGAAAAGCAAACAAACAATTGTGAAAACACATTGAGCAAGTATCTAAGAGCCCATGGATAACCATGGATAGAAAGGGTGCTAACACCTTCCCTTTCTATAACCTACCTCCCGAACCGAGAGCAATCTCTCAAGGAATTTTTCTGTGCTTTTGTCCTTTCCATTTGGAGAAAATAAAAGACGGTGGCGACTCTTGCTTACCGCGACATTTCGCGAACCAGCTTTAAAACAGTCAGTTCCAGATCCACCGATCACAGAACTGGCGACTCTGCTGGGGATTTAATAAGTGGGGCGTACCTTAGGAATAGTTCATTATATTGTTTTCAATTGATTGATCTGTTTGATTTATCTTTGTGGTCTTGTATCAGAGTTACTATAAATCCTAACCCGGATCTGGGGATACCTTCTTAGAAAGTAGCAACAAGGCTGTGAGGGAACTGTGCGGGGTATACCGACATGGTTGAAACAGTCTGCTACGTTGATGTGGCACTTTGGTGTGTACCGGTAACCCTTGAGTTCAGTCAAGGAGAGTACGGGGCCTCCGCGTGGTGTCGTGAAGCATCAACAGACCTTAGGAACCTTAATTGAACTATCTTGGCCTCTTTAGGGTAGTGAGATAACTGACTTTGGTGCAGTCCGAGGTTGGTTGATACTCAATACTACGCTCAATTGAGGGTTGCTTTCCTGGAATATTTCGGTCGCCAGTTCAGTGGCTAAATCGAAACGATGAACAATGAAAGCAATCCCGTGATATTGGGAACCTTAGAACCCGGTTACTTTGATTAGGACAGGTTGAACCCACCAACTTCAAGAGGGTACTACCCAGACCCCATGCTGGCCTTAAACCTTAAGGGCTTGTCTTGTGTGCCTTGTGTGCCTTACATGTTTGTCTTTGTAAATATCTGTGGTGTGTTTAATCATAGCATCATGACATCATCCTGCATCATATGCATTGACTAACCATTTCAGGGGTTCGAATTTTCATCTTTGTTCTTGTTTTGTAGGACATGGAAACTGCTCGTAGAAAGACCATTCAAGTCAGTCTTGTAAGGATCCCTCCTCAGCTTAAGGAGCTTATATCCAAGATTCCCGAGAACTCTTCATTCAGTGAAAGGCATGGAAGCCTCATCAGCTTGGTCAACACCAACATTGAGGAAGATATGATAAAGGTCTTGTTCCAATTCTTTGACCCTCTGCATCACTGCTTTACCTTCTTGGACTATCAGTTGGTACCTACATTGGAGGAGTTCTCCCGGCTCCTGAAGATTCCTATCCTTGATCAGCTACCCTTCAACGGTACAGAAAAGGAACCTAAGCTTGAAGAGATTGCTAAAGCCTTGCACCTACAGTCATCTGACCTCAAGGGACATTGGGAAGTTAGAAGTGGTGTCAAAGGGTTCTTATCCAGGTTTCTGTTTGAGAAAGCCCTTGAATGTTGGAACTCTCTTGACTTGCAAGCTTTTGAAGAGGTTGTGGCCCTCCTTGTTTATGGTTTGGTGTTGTTCCCTAACCCAGATCAGCTCATTGATATCAGTGCCGTTCAGATCTTTATGTCCAGGAATCCTATACCTACATTGCTGGGGGACATCCTTCACTCATGTTACACTCGAACCATGAGAAAAAGAGGTGTCCTTATGTGTTGCACTCCTCTCCTGGGAAGGTGGTTTATTTCGCACCTTCCCCAATCAGTCCTGAAGAATGAACGGGGTTTGAGATGGTCACAACGGTTGATGACTCTTACACATGCAGATATACATTGGTGTCCTAGATCCAGAGGAGATATCACTATCATTGATCGTTGTGGGGAGTACCCTAATGTTCCTTTACTTGGAATCAGAGGAGGTATTACTTATAGCCCATGCCTGGCTTGGAGACAGTTTGGTTATGCTCGGAGGGATGGTCCTCATGACATGTTAATTCCTGACATAGTTTTTGACTTCGACAATGATACTCAAGGACTTCGTCAGAGATTTATCAGAGCCTGGAGGATGCCCAGTAGGATAGACAGCAAAACACTGGGGCACAGGAACTCCATCCCTTTGGAGCCTTATCTCAAATGGGTACGCGTCCGCTCTCAGAAGTTAGTGATGCCTTATCCTCACATGCTTCCAGTAATCAAAGAGCCTGTCTTGGAAGGGGAAGTGTCTCATGTTATTCAGCACCCTGATATGCCCACATCCTGGGAAGAGACGCAGAAGAGCTGGATCCAGCTTAAGGAGGAAAGGAATTCTCTTGAGACTAGTCTGCATGCCAGTGAAAAGAAAGTCCTGGAGCTCACTCGCCTGTTGCATGAGGAGAGGAACCTCAACACCTACATAGCTCCGAAGAGGATGCGCAGTGTATTTTGGGATTGACTTGACTTTTGTACTGTTGCCCATGAGGCCTTGATGTATTAAACAATGATTTCTTTAATGATAACGTGTGTTCCCTTTTGTCTACAACAAATTTGAACTTTCGAACCCTTGAATGCATTGCATACGCATTTCATACATCATGTGCATAGCAGGTTTTTTCCCCTTTTCAGGTTGCTTACAGTTCTTCGCTGTTTATTTCAGCATCATGAATCCCGGATCTGAATCAACTGAGACCTCAATCAAGGCTCTCCAGGCGCAGAATGCGCAGTTTCAAGAACTAATCATGGGTCTAGCTAAAGGCCAAGAAGAACTGAAGACTACGCTCCTGAAGAAGGAGAAGAAGAAAAAGAGAAGAACTGTTCTGTTCAACTCGGGCCGAAGGCTTGGTAATACTCTGCAGCATGAAGAGGCTGGTTCTTCTGTTGGCAGGAGTCCTTCTCAGGCAGAAGTAAAGGTTCCTACTCCAGTGGTCTCCGACAACGAGACAGATTTTGATGAGGAACAGTATCCTCCTGCAGATGACAGGTACAAACAACTGGAGGACAGGTTGAAGGCTATGGAGGTGCAACAGGCACCTGGGCTGGATTTCGGAGATCTGGGTTTGTCGACTGGTGTAATTATTCCACATAAATTCAAAGCACCAACCTTCTCCAAATATGACGGGGCATCTTGTCCCAAGCTGCATTTGAGGTCCTATGTTCGGAAAATTCAGCCGTACTCTGCGGACAAGAATCTATGGATCCACTTCTTCCAGGAGAGTCTTTCAGGGACTCATCTCGAATGGTTCTATCAGCTGGATGGGACCAAAGTTCGTAACTGGGAGGAGCTGGCTACTGCTTTCTACAAGCAGTATCAGTATAATGCCGACCTTGCCCCCACACGTACCCAACTCCAGGGTATGGCGTTAGGTGCAAGCGAAGGTTTTAAGGAGTATGCTCAGAAGTGGAGAGACCTGGCTGGCAGGGTGCAGCCACCATTAACTGATCGGGAGTTGGTTGACATGTTCTTGGGGACCCTATCTGGGCCATTTTTCAACCATCTCATCGGGAATTCTTCTGCTGGTTTCACTGATTTGATCTTGACTGGAGAGAGGATTGAAGCTGGATTAAAGTCTGGGAAGATTGCAAAGGCTGCATCATCTAGTTCAGAAAAGAAACCGTTTAAAAAGGAGTCTAGTGCCGTGTATGGTTCTAGAAGATCAGAAAGAAATGAACACCGCCAATCTGTCAGTGCGGTCATGATTGCTAAGCCTGCTGCCGCTCCCCGGCCAAACAATACTCAGAAGGTGGAAAGACCCCGGAGGGAATTCACCCGCTTAGGCATGACTTTGTCGCAGATCCTGCCACAGTTGCTCGCAACTAATTTAGTGACTGTCAGGGAGGCTCCAAAGTTCCCAAATACTGCATCCCCCAAGTACAACCCGAATGGGCAGTCTTCTTTTGTTGGTAGACGATGTACCACGATGTCTGCATCAAGTCCTGGCATGTCTTCGTACGACCAGGCAAAGACATCAACATAATCATGTAGCAACTGAATCATGCACTCTTTGACACCGGGTTCTAGATTGGCACCCACCTTGACTTCTCTTTTGTCTTCTTCGATACCTAGGTTAATTGTGTCCACTGGTTCCTCGTGGGATTGTATGGTCCTCTCTTCTTGTTGTAGTAACCCGACAAGTTCCCCTGATACTTCACAATCTTCCTCACCTTCGTCTTCGGCTTGGTAGATTAGATTTTCAGAATCACAGAAGGCCATAGCAGAACCGTTACCCATGGGATCCCGAATGGATATAGATATGCAATTTGAATGTGAGTGTGTGTAAGAGTATAACTATCTTTGAAAGAAATGAAAATGTAAAAAGAAAAACAATGAGCACAAAGTTTGTATGCAAAAACGTCTATGATTCATTGATGTCATATGGAAATGAGATAATAACCCTTACAAATGGACCATTGTGCCTCGGGTAAGACACAAGGTTTTAAGAGTTTGAATTGTTTAATATTACAGGTCTGACAAAATTTAAAGACAAATTATTGTTGGATAAAAGTGACCGGGACAAAATCTCTAGCTTCCCAGTTGCTGAGCCCTCCATTGACAGTTGGAAAAATCCAATCCTCCAGGTTATAGCTGTCTTCATTATCCTCCAATGCGTTGACTTCGCGGTTGCTGATCTTCAAGGGTGGTCCTCCGACACGAGCACGACGTACAACTTTCTGGGATCCTGAAGTGAAACCCAAACCAAATTTGTAAGATTTGTATGGGATATCTGGGAGTTGGCCCCAAATAGTGCACCCACCTTCTTCTATCATTGCCTTGGCATCTTTTGGAGAGGACATCTTGAGCGGAGGCCTCGTAATCTTTGGGACTTGAGAAACAACCTTGGTTACTGCCACAGTTTGCGGGACTTCTTCAAAGTGCTGGAATGGAGTTTTAATAAATTCACCATCTAATTCCACACATCTGAAGGAATTTAGATGACTGACAATATACTCTTCTTCTCCATGAATGATGATGATTTCCCCCTGAATGGGATATTTCAGCATTTTATGCAATGTAGAGGTAATGACACTAGCATTATGAATCCACGGTCGACTTAATAAGCAGGAATATGAAGGGCGAATATCCATCACATAAAAAGTTGAATCAAATGTTTGGGTTCCAACTTTTATGGGGATGTCCACTTCCCCATGCACCATCCTTTTTGAGCTGTCGAAGGCCCTCACTACTATGTTGCTAGGTTTCAAGGTCAATCCTTCGCAGTCAAGCCTATCAAGAGCCTTTTTAGGCAAAACATTCAGAGACGAACCAGTGTCAACCAAGACATGAGCCAAAGTTATTCCCCTGCATTCGAATGAGACATGTAATGCCTCGTTATGCTTCCTCCCCCTTGGCGTTAAATCAGCATCCGAAAAACCTAAACCATTATTTGCGGTCAAGCTAGCTACGCAGTCTTGGAACTGATCGGAAGATGTTTCTTGGGGTACATGGGAAATTTTAAGGAATTTTTCCAAGGCCTTTGCATGAGCCTCATAACATAACAATAAAGCCAGCATGGAAATTTTTGATGGAGTTTGCCCCAGTTGTTCGACTACATTGTAGTCGCTTCTTTTTATAATCTTTAGAATTTCCTCTATCTCTTTTCGGGAAGTCTCAGGGATAGCTACTGATTATGCCTTCGTCTGGACAGGCTCAACCAGAATACCTTTTCCTCGAGTCTCGGTTGACTCGGCAATGGGAATGTCAGTAGGGGTGATAACAGGGACTGTAACAATTTTGTCAACAGGAGTATTAGCAGAGATGATTACAGGACTGGGAATAACCTTTGGAGGAGCAACAAAAACAGGAATGATTACAGGTCCATAAATAGATTTTGGAAGAGCAATTTCTAGAGAGAATACCCTTCCACTTCGGGTTATCTTACTAGTCCCTGCGATGTTACTGATATCAGAGTCAACTTTCTCAGAATTTGAATCTTCAGCAGCTGACCAATCTTGCTTGATACCGTGATAGTAGATATCACCTCCATAATTCCATGGGATGGTTTTGTCTGACGAATACGGGATTGGTCCAGGCATTGTAATTATCAACGGAGCTACTTTAGAAACTGATGTAATTCTAACGGGTCTTTTGGTGTAGACCCTGGAAGAATTGTCGAAAATGGTCACTATGGAAACATCATTATAAGAAACAGTTGGAGTAGAAGTCTTATCGAACAAAATCTCCTTGTCATCTATTAGGCATTGAATGCCTGCTTTTAACAAATGACAGCTGGTTGGTGAGGATAAACAGAAATGACAGCTTTCATCATAGCCTGGGAAAACACTGACATTCAACAAGTTCTTTTTGATAGTCAGGAGTGGGGCCACAAGTTCATCAACCAAAGTAACAAACATGTTTTCCTCAACGACGTTGACATCACGACCGTGCTTGGGCATAGGGGCAGTGATAACATTAGGAATTTCTGGTGCGTCAAATTCAATCTCTTTGGCTTCAAGAAGGTCTTGTACTTTGTTTTTCAGAGCCCAACAGTTGTTAGTGTCATGGACGGGACTCTCAGAATGGTATGCACAGCGGGAATTAGGATGATAATGAGGAAAGGTTGTGTTAGGATTCTTTGGAGCTTCTTTCAAAGTCACTAGATTGGATCTTAACAAATACGGAAATACTTGAGATAGTGTCATATTAATTCAGGTGAACTGTCTGACTGGTCTTTGCGTTCTTGGCTGGTTGCTTCTTTGCTGAGTAGGTGCGGGTTTAGGAATCATGACAGCCCCTACCATTGGACGATGTTCAGTCCTATCTTGATTTCTCTGAGGATATACAACAACAACTTCTTTTTTTTTCCAATGAATGGTTTTCTTACAGCAGTAGAGGATGCATCTTTTTGAATCTTCCCATTATTTATCCCAACTTCCACTATTTCTCCGGTCAATATCAATTCAGTAAAACCTGCAGAGGAACTCCCAATTAAGTGATTAAAGAAAGGACCGGGTGCCCAAAAACATGTCTACTAACTCTCTTTCAGATAGGGGAGGCGGGACTCTTCCTGCTAAGTCCCTCCATTTTTGCGCATAGTCTTTGAAGCCTTCACTTGAAACCATGGCCATACTCTGGAGTTAAGTACGGGTGGGAGCAAGGTATGCATTATACTGGTATTGTTTTAAAAGGCGGCGGCCAGATCTTCCCAATTATGAACATTGGCTCTTTCTAGCTGATAAAACCAATCAAGTTGAGTTCCGGACAGACTGTCTTGAAAGAAATGTACCCATAAATCCCTGTCAGCAGTGTGAGGCTGTATTTTTCTCACATAGGACCGGAGATGCATTTTGGGACACGAAACTCCATCGTATTTGGCGAACACCGGTGCCTTGAATTTTGGAGGAATGACAATCCCTGATACTAGACCCAACTCCTCAAAGTCCAATTCAAGAACTTTTTGAATTTCCATTGCACTTAACCATTCTTCCAGATGCTTATACTTGTCGTCGGCTGGAGGATAT